TTAACAGAAGAATCACATTGTAACACTTTTGATACATTAAAAATATAATAAGAAAAATTTAATCTCTAAGGACATAAAATAAAAATCTTGAAATCCTTTAATATGTAAAATACGAAAAAATCCTAAGATCAAAAATGACTTCCGAATATTCCACTTGAATTAAGAAAAAAAAATAGAAGTTTAGGGCAAACTCTATTACTCTCATCTAATTGATTTCATGGGTTATTACTTCAGCTAAGTGATCCTAAATTTTTTTTTTGGATACAATACCATGAAGTTATTATTTGTTTCCCTTATAGTGACATAGTTGTGGTCCATATTTTCGTCCTTTCATAGTTAAGTAAAGAGGCCTATCAATTCATGCCTTTTCATGATGGAACTTTGACAAACATATTTATTAGATTAAGTTATTGTGGTAGTAATTTGAAAGATAACAATGCAATAATAAGACATAAAAAATCTTAAATTTGAGGTATCTAAGACATTTTTTAGTTGATTTTACATGCATGACTTAAAAATGCAATTATTCACGTCTCAAATTTATGTGACAACCATGAATTCAAGAAATACACAAACTATTTCCGAGTTAAAAAAAAAACCCCTTATATTTTATAAAAATATATATTGAAGTTTTTGATTTTCTTTAAAAAAAATCAATTTTTACAATTAAGACTTCACTACATTATCAAAGAAAATTGTTATTACGTACCTCCAAATTTTATTACTTTAATGAGAATTTTTATGATTTTTCTCGATTATTTTACTACCAAAAAATATATCACATTTATAAATATTTTTATCATTGTTGTAGTAGCTATTTATACCATTTTTTCAAAATCACAACAGTGATAAAAATATTTACGAATATAATAAAAACACATACAAATATTAATATAATATTATTTTTTTTTAATATAATAAATATTTTTTAATTAAAATAAAAAATAAATAAATACATTAAATTCAAATAACACTAATCTATCATTAACTGTCAGTTTTCATTGCGATAAATGTGTCATACCTAATAAATTGGACGGACCCGAAAAAAAAACATATTAAACAGCCAAAAAGGACAATAATAGGAGGACCCCACCCTACGGTTAGGCTTTTAACAGAATTTACGCAGGTCTTGTTGTATAGCCGCCTCTATTTTAAAGCATGGGCATCGGCCTAAGTAGATACTTAGGTGTAAAGCATAAAGCTTTAACTACAAGAAAAAAAAAAAAAAAAAAAAGTAGCAAACACGTGCATCTGACGTTTTGGGGACCGTCCCACTAAAAAGTAAGTTAATGACCGAAAGATAATTTAGTAATTAACAATGTTAATTGCGGCCCTATTGTGGCAAATTAATATTATTTATTAATTCCTCTTCTCTTTTCTCTTCTAATCATCACCACCATTTCAACGGTTCAAGAAATGTAGTTGTGGACATGCAAACCTGTTGAAAGTGTAACGTTGGATTGTCCTCCGTTGAAAGTGTAACGTTAAATAGAAGTAAAGGTGTGAAAATATAACACAAAAAATAATATAAAATTAAATAGTCAAGCCTTCAGTTGAGTGGTGAATATTATGAGCCTTGTGGAATAGCGGTGCCATCATTGTTCTACATCCGTATTTGGATTATTAGGTTGCGGGTTTGAACTTTATCAACCTCTTTTTTTATAAAAATTTTAAATAATGACCCAGAAAAAATATTATGAGCATAAACGACGAATCTAATAAGTTCTTTTCAATAACAATATCCACCGAATAAAAATATTAAATAATTTAAAAGTCCAGACAAAATGAACACTTCAAAAAAAAAAAGTCATATACAGATAGTGAAGAATCATAAGACCACTAACAAACTTTAGGTTTAATGGTACTCTTTACCTTGTGAAAGCTTTATCTTATTACAAGGGCAGTCCAAGGTCAAGCGGAGTCTTAGGAAAAATTTTCATACGTGACCCTATTAATATTTTGTCTATTGTTAAATTTTTATTTTTAATTATTATAATTTTTTATGTTTTAAAAAATTATTTTTATTTTTTAAAAATTTAAAATATTGATCAAGTTTTTCTACTCAAGTTTTGACAATAATTTTTATTAATAGATAATATTGTTAATTCATTCGCTCTTAGTTGATTGTAAATAAAATTTCATCAATTTAAGTTTTCAACAAGTAATTTAATGATAGAATATGTGAGTAAAGAATAATTTTAAGATAATAAAGAATCATTCTTTACCCATAAGTAATGTGCACGCATGAAGTACAAAACTTTAATAATATAGACAATTTAAGTATAAATTATTTAGATTGAAAATTTTTATTAAGACAAAAAAGAACCAATTTTATAGATTTTCACCACAAGAAATAATGAATATAAATTTCTACGTGAGTGAGTGAAATACAACTATGAACACACCCAAAATATCTAGAAAATTTTAAATGAAAGCTCACACGAAGGAGTAATTTTCAACAAAAAAAAAAATAGATATTGATTTGAATTATTAAAATTTGAGGCCCAAAAATTTGAATCATATCTAAAATATAAAAAATAAAAATAAAAAGGACTATTATACTAAAGTGGTAAATTTTATGAAGACCTCTAAAATTTGGGTTTAACCAAGTAGAGAGTAATTTTGGACCTAATAAAATTAGATACTGATTTAAATTAATAAAATTTAGACCCTAAAAATTTTAATCAAATCTAAAATAAAAATAAAAAAAAAAGCCTATTATACTAAAGGGATAAATATTATGGGAGTCCTCTAAAATTTGGGGTCCTAGACAAGCAACTTAATTGCCTATGGGTTAAGCCGACCCTGTCTTATTGAAATTAATTGTTCAAGTCATTCTTCGAATTCCAAAAAAAGATAAAAAAGAATCATAAAACCGAACTACCACTTTTATTGTCTTAAACATTTAATTGTATGTACCAACTCAAAATGGTTTGGGTCTTCCTTTCAACGTGTCACAACTAATAAACGAATTAAGTATCAGTGAAGGAAATCAAAAGATATACACTACACAACTCATTTATACATGACTCGGATCTAATATAACATGATTCGTTAGGCATGAATTAATAAATGAATCAGATATGAATGAAATATTTTTTAATACAAACTAATTATTTAGGCCTAATACAAAAATATATCATCTGACACAATTGACAGTCCTAGATATAGTGATACATCGAATGGGGATTAATATCCCTTTCTTTATTGGTTTATCCTCTACCATTAATGATTAAGAGATCACTTGTATGTACATATAGTCTTATTTGAATGAATGATATGTGTGCTTTGCCAAAAAAAAAAAAAAAATGAAGATAAAATATATTGAATGGGAGTCCACTCCATCCAACTGTCTTCGTTTCAGGAAAGCACCGTGAAATAAAGTGTATTAAAATAATTGTTCTACTCATGCGAAAAAGAAATTTGAGTGAAAAAAAAACTCATGTAAAATCAATTTCAGGTTGCAACTGTATTAGAGATGAACTCAAATCTAATTTACTTCAAAGTAAATTAGATTTGTGTTATTTTCAATATATATTTTTTCAAAGAAAGATTTTTTTTGCTAATAGTATAAATAGAATGGATCGTAATATCATTGAATGAATTATTATATTGATATACTTTTGTATACAGATTATAGAGGCGGAGTTATATATCTTTTGACTCCACTCAATTTTTTTGTCAAAATATTTTTTTATATAAATTTTAATATTTTTTAAATTTACTCTCACAAAAAAATCTCGTGCATAATTTACTTAATAATTTCTAACATTAATAGTAAATTTCTTTACTCAATTAAGTGATCTCAACCAATTTATTTAGTTGAATCTCTTTGTTTAAGAAATTTTGAATACTTTCATTCCCTCCCACCCCATTTTCCTCACATTTGTTATTGAATGATATAAAAATTTGGCAATAACAATGGTAAAAGTAAAATTACTCCATTATAACCTAATTGTCAAGTATTTAAATCGCAAGACTCTCCAGTAGCCCCAAGAAGAAACCAACCTGAATAGGACCCTCATCACAAGTTGCAAGGAGCTGATGGAAATAAGTGGTATCCCAATCATCCACTGCGAAAGAAACCAATGTGCAGATGCGTTGGTAAACATGGGGGTTCAGCAACAAATTGGATTAGTTGTGTTGGAACAATTCCATCCCATTAAAGAAACCTGTTTAATGCAGATTTAGCTAGTGTAGCTTTTAGTATAATTATTTTTTACCTTTCTAATGTATCCAAAAAAAAGTATAGCTTTTAGTATAAGATCATTTACGTTTATCTCTCAGACATTGAAATAGCATAAACCATACACTATATCACATTTTTTAATTTATTATTACTTCAAATTTTTAAATTTTACTTTTGTTACAAAAATATTACTAACACATGGAGACTTAATTTGATAATCTAATGTATTGTTGTTATTGAATTAGTAAAATATTTTAATATTAAATATATTTTATTTTATTAAGTATATGTAGTATTATTATTACTAAAAATTTTGCCCCACTATCACACTTTTCTGGCTCCATCCGAAAAAATTAATGCTAAGAGAGGAAAAAAAATTGAAAATATCATAGACTTGAAAATTTTGGAATCTTCGTGAAATTTATACGAAGGCAAGAAGAGTGCGACGGACGGACGGACTATTGTGGAAACACGACGAAACATTTTGAGAATTGGAAAAGCAAACCGAGAAAGACGGGTAAAAGTGGTATTGGCCAAGTTGTAACATCAATGGTCAAAAGGTCAACAGACCACAGTAAAAGTAATATGAATTCAATTATAAAAAATAAAAAATAAAAAATAAAAAATAAAAAATAAAAAGTGAACACATCTGTCAGACAGACTCCCCCATAAGTCAAAAAGTCAACAGAGTAAATTTCTCTGCGCCCACCAATATATATGCACATGCATATGGGCCGCCTATATATACGAGATCGGGAGAGAGAAACCAAACCCAAACCAGAACCAGAGCAATTTGTATTTTCGTTTCCCTGTCAATAACCAATCGATCAACGTCTCATTCGCACACCCGCTACACGCTCTTTTCGTTCTAGATTCTGAAAATCAAAGAAAAAAAACTTCTCATCTGTCTGTGTCCGACTCCAAGTTCATGATCTTACAGTTTTATAAACACAATATTTGTGTGATAATTTTATTTTAGAGGATAGATTATGTGAAAAAGGAAGTGAAGATTGTGAAAGAGGAAGAAAATCTCGAGATCTTGTGGGAAAATCAGTGATATTTTGGTTGGATTTTGAGTTTTATGGTAGAGAGAGGTAAGGGAAGATGGAACAGAAGCACATTTGGTTGTCAGCATTGAGCGTAGGGGTAGGGGTAGGGCTTGGATTGGCCTCTGGAAAGACTGTGAGCAAATGGACTGGTGGTTATAATTCTATGGCAGAAGGCATTACGGCGGAGAAGATTGAGCATGAGCTTCTCAGGATGGTGGTTGATGGGAAGGAAAGCAGGGTCACCTTTGAAGAGTTCCCTTATTATCTCAGGTAAAATAGGAGTTCATATTTTTTTCAGTTCTTCTTTTGCCTTTTTTTTTTCAATATAAATTAGATAAATACAATTTAATAATAGAGAATCATATATTGAATCAGGTCTTATAAGCTATGGTGGGGGAATATCCATGTTTCTTTAATTTTGTTTTGATAGCACAGGTAATAAAATCACCATATGATTGCTGGTGTCAAGATATTTATCTCCGCATGGTTCTTTCGACTATAAGATTGTTAACTTGATGATGATCTAAAGGACTTTTTGTTTTCCTTGTTTGAAATGATTTGAGTTTGTTGTTTCATATACTTATTATCGATTATTCTTCACCTATTAGGACTTCCTTCCAGTTTCATAGCACTTTTATGCTTTGAAGAGTTAGGAACTCGATACCATTGACCTCTTCTAAGATGTCTGTTAAGCAATCAGTACTAGAATTTGTATCATGATTAAAACTTGTCTTTGCTCTAAGCACTCTCTGATTCATGGTTTATTGAAGGTTTGATTCAGGAGTACAACATAAAACTCAGATAGCGCATTATTTTTAGTTTTTTCTTTAACTGTATTAGCCTATTGCTAGCAATTATGACAACTGAGACCCACTGATTATTCTAGGATCCGTAATCATATCATCTATCTGAAGTAGTTATACAATACTATCATATCTTCCTAGTTTCTTTATCCTACAAGTTTTTATTCTTCAATTGATCGAGTTTTGTGCAATTATATGCTGTTTTGATGTTATCTTCATTTTAGTGTTCTTAATATGTTGATAAAAATGACAGTGAGCGGACACAAGTGCTGTTAACTAGTGCAACATATCTTCATCTAAAGCACTTAGATGTTTCCAAGCACACCCGGAATCTCTCGCCAGCAAGTAGGGCTATACTGCTTTCAGGACCTGCTGGTATGTTATTTGGTCCTGCTTTAGTATATGTATTTGTGTGACACATTTTCATTGCATAAGTTGGTTTCATCTCTGTTGTTGTATATTCTGTAGAACTTTACCAGCAAATGCTTGCGAAGGCTCTAGCGCATTACTTTGAAGCAAAATTGCTGTTGTTGGATATTACTGACTTTTCTTTAAAGGTGTGTATGTACAATGTCAAACTTCCATAATCCGGTCAACCTTCCATGATCCAATATTAATCATATTGTTATACTAATTTTTTTTGCATTAAATATCAACAGATGCAGAGCAAGTATGGTAGTGCCAAAAAAGAATCGGTAAGTACTACGCGAAAATGATTGAGCATGTGTTATTTTTACTGCTTATTTCAAAAAAAAAAAAAAGGTGGCTTTCAGCTCATGAATGCTTGTAATTTTATTCTGTAGGGAGGGAGAAGTCAATAGATAATGCATAGATGCAAAACCTAATTCATCAAACGTATACTGCATTTTATTTCACTTCCCATAAGAAGGAAAAGTTGATTATTTTACTTGAGTTGGAATATTTACTCATTTAGTATCTTTCTTTCATTAGTCTTTCAAGAGGTCCATCTCAGAGGTGACATTGGGGCGGGTATCCAATTTGCTCGGTTCCTTCTCAATCTTTCCACCAAGGGAGGACAATGGAGGTATAAAAAGAAAGTACAGTTTGCTTATTCATATTTAATACATGATGTGTCATTAGTTTGATGTTTACAACCTTTTATTCACATTTAATGCTGTATGATAAACTGCTGTTTTGATGTTTATATTCTTGCAATAATGGTGGTGACAATGCTCTGCAGTCAATCAGTGGAAGAGCAACTGGTTGTGTTGTTGATAATGCTTTTAATTAACCAGTAGAGGATTGATAAATTCTTTTGAAAAGTTCTCTTTTGTGGTTTCCAACTTGGTGTAATATATTTCTTTGTTACTTGGGTTTCCAACTTGGCATAATATATTTCTTTGTTACTTGTTTTTTCATCACTGTATGCCATTCCTTTATATTCATGTGGCGCTTCAAATGAAGATGTTGAATTATTTACTTCTTTTGTGAGACTGAGCTATGATGATGCTTACTTTCATTGTTCTAATCTACATTTAGAGAATGAGGCTAGTAGCAATAACAATTCGATAGAATGGGAGGCTACTCTTTGAATGTTAAGACTGATTTGATGTGATGGGAAGAACCATTAGACAGTATTGAGAAATTCCTTTCCTAGATAATGTCAGATTTAGAAGTGTGCATTTAAGCAAAAGATAAGAAAAGAAACAACAAAGTTTTTTTGGTATTTGAAGAACTAACCTAAGTAAGATGGATTTATAAAACAGTTTGTTGAGCTCCTTTCTTATTCTGTCACGCCTTTCTCCTACATAGGAGGTTATTGAATATCGGTGACACAATGTTGATCTTATATGTCATTGGAAGTTGAAACTTCACTGGGGGGATTTAAGTTGCTTGGTGTATTTCTATGCATGTTACTTTTTCTATTCATCTTTCCCCCATTTCCCATTGACAATAATATCCTGAAGAACCAGTGAATTTCTTGTAGGCACATTGCGTAGGCAAGGCAGTGGCTTGGATACTCAATTAAGGTAAGGTAGATTAGGTTTTCGTGTTGGATCCCAAGACAGACATCCAAGTGTTTTTTGATATATATCTTTTATTCCTACAGGACTGTTGAAGGAGTAAATAATGTTCCAAAGCCTCGTAGAACTGCATCTGTCTCTTCGGATATGAGTAGCATCAGTTCCCAGGGCCCTTCTTATCCAGGTTGTGTTCAGAACTTGAGTTTTACAGTCCCTAAAAATCAAAATAATGGTTTTATGGCTCATGAAACATTGGTTACCGTCAGTACTTTGCCATTGGAATGTTATTATGTGCATGAAACACCAGTTCAGTAGTCAAGTTGGTAGCATTTAGCTACCCAAAAAAGAGTTGGTAGCATTCAGGTGAAAACCATATTGCTCTTAAAATGTAGGCCACCTTTTTTAAATGTACGAAATAATTTCAATACCAGTGGTTTTATAGTGGGGAGATGTTTCTTCTGAGAATCTGTACTTTATACATTGAGAGGAATGCTAGGGTGGGGGGATTGAAGGACGCCACTTCCATACTCTTTACTGCTGCATTGGAATCAGAGGACACACCTATAAAGATGTTGGATTTAATTTTGAGAAATTCTACTTAGCAAATTTCACCTAGATAGTTTTGAAAGCTGGCTAGATGTAGTAACATCCTCTGACAACATAGGAAATGAATAAATAGTATGTTGAATTCTTCCAACCACCACGATTTCTGTGACAATTAGCGGGTCAGCATCGAGGCTTAGTTAACCTTATCTTATTATTCTTTGTCTTGACTTCATTTGATTTTGCTGCTATTTTGTTCACCTAGCTTTATCTTATACGTATTGCAAACAGTCACGACGGACTTTTTACTGTTAAATGGTTCATGAATGTCTGATTTACACACGGGAGTTGCTTTTTCAAACTTTTTGTTGGCCAGGAATTAGTTCGAAATGCACATTTAAAGTTCTATTCTCTGCTACTGCCCTCCTCTGAGTCTTTTAGTTTTCTGCATGAATGTCTGGATGTCAACTACCATTTGTGAGATTACTTACTAATTTTAATATAGCATTTTTGGTCTTTCAGTAGCATTTCTGAAGCTGCCATTTAATTTAATCTGCAATCCGATCTCATCTTTTGTCAAATCATTCCATCTAATTTGAAATCACAACTGGGATCACAAGTCTAAATTTTCTTCCGGTAATGAGGGCAGAGATCAGTTAATTTTATAGTCAGGGTTCTTCTTATTTTTGTTCTTTCATTGGACTTGTAAATTAACCTGATATACTATTGCATGAAGATGGTTGCTAGTTACTTCTAGATTTGGTAAAAAATTTAGATATCATTAGTACTGATCCTTGGGAATCGTTTTCATTTTTTTAGTTCCTCTCAAGCGGGTTAGCAGCTGGTCTTTTGGTGAAAAAGTTTTCTTACAGTCACTTTACAAGGTAAATGTAACAGAGAATGAATTGCTTCTTTCAAACTATCATTTTTATTATTCTTGCATGGTCTCGTTTTGATGATCCTTTCACTCCACTTACTTACCAGGGGACTAACTTTTATAAAGTTTAGCAAGTTACTTAAATGCAGTGTTGTTTCTTAACTTGTAGGTTTTGGTTTCAATCTCTGAAACCAGTTGCATCATTCTGTACATCAGGGATGTTGACAGGCTGCTTCTCCAATCCCCCAGGCTATACAAGTTGTTTGATAAAATGTTGAAGAAACTATCAGGACCTGTGGTGGTTCTTGGCTCCCGGATGTTGGACATAGATGATGATAGTGGGGAAGTGGATGAGAGACTCAGTTTTTTATTTCCTTACAATATTGAGATTAGGCCTCCTGAAGATGAGACTCATCTTGTCAGCTGGAAATCCCAGCTGGAAGAGGACATGAAGACTATCCAGTATCAGGATAACAAAAATCATATTGCTGAGATACTTGCGGCAAACGATCTTGATTGTGATGATCTGGGATCAATCTGTCAGACTGACACCATGGTTCTTGGTAATTATATAGAAGAAATTGTAATATCAGCAATATCTTATCATTTGATGAATAACAATAATCCAGAATACCGCAATGGGAAGCTTGTTATATCATCGAAAAGGTAGATGCGATATTTTCTTTACTTCTGATATCTTAGCTTCTTTTCCGCTTTTCTTAGTTTTCTTACTCATTGAAATATTCCATGTAATTACTTGTCTGGCCCTGCTATAGTTTGTCCCATGGATTGAGCATCTTCCAGGAGGGAAAAAGTGGTGGCAAAGATACCCTCAAACTGGAGACCAATGCTGAATCTTCTAAGGTTTGTTTTGCATCTTGGCATTCTAACTTTCAACGATACGACAGCTGATAGTTGCAATATTGATATGGTTGCATTATGCTTGTTCATCAACATCAGAATATGAAAGGGGAGGAAAGTAGTGGGTCAAAGCCTGAATCAAAGTCTGACAACCCCACAGCTGAAAACAGAAGTGAGACAGAAAAAACAGTTCTTTCAGCAAAGAAGGATGGTGAGACTATGACAACAAAAACACCGGTGAGTGCAGTTTGCTAATAATCAATTGACAGAGAAAATGGTTTATTTTCAGTGAAGAAAAATGAAAATAGATAGAAAATTAGGTAAAATAAAGTGAAACTCTAGAGAAAGCATGCATCACATATCATGCCTCCCGGTGGTTCAAGTTTACTCAAAATTTAAAGCAATTAAGGTTCATGTGCCCTCTCAAATATCGCAAAGTGTATTAAATTTCGAAGTTATACCATTTTGACAGTTATGAAATATGAAGTGAATAACATGGCACGATACCTTAGAAGTTCAGTACCCCTCTGTAATGATGATTCAATTAAATTGTTTATTTTCTCTCTGAATTTTTAAGGGTTATATGTCCTAACCAGGAAGTTCCTCCTGATAATGAATTTGAAAAGCGCATCAGGCCAGAGGTTATTCCTGCAAATGAGGTTGGAGTGACATTTGATGATATTGGTGCTCTGGATGAGATTAAAGAATCACTTCAGGAGCTGGTCATGCTTCCTCTTCGAAGACCTGACCTCTTCAAAGGTGGACTTCTTAAGCCTTGTAGAGGCATATTGCTCTTTGGGCCCCCTGGTACTGGGAAAACAATGCTGGCAAAGGCCATTGCTAATGAAGCAGGAGCAAGTTTCATCAATGTCTCAATGTCGACCATCACCTCAAAATGGTTTGGCGAAGATGAAAAGACTGTCCGAGCTCTTTTCACACTTGCAGCAAAGGTTTCTCCCACTATCATTTTTGTGGATGAAGTTGACAGCATGCTCGGACAGCGGACAAGAGTAGGGGAGCATGAGGCTATGCGAAAAATTAAAAATGAGTTCATGACACATTGGGATGGCCTGTTAACAAAACCGGGTGAGCGTATTCTTGTTCTTGCTGCGACAAACAGACCATTTGACCTCGATGAAGCAATCATTAGGCGGTTTGAGCGCAGGTATGTTCCATCTTTGTGTCACAACCACATCATTCTCATATTTCAGTGCATGATTCATCATTCTTGGATAACACAGATTTCGTATATAATGACAGTTTGCATGCTTATTTTGGGTGGTGTTGGTTTTGCTTATTTCCTTTCTTGGCTTTTACCTAACCTTAATAGCCTTCAGTTTGCACATCACAGAAGAAAAAGCTCCTCTCTTTTTGTTGTATTTCTCTAGTTTTATGAGCGATGTTCTCCTTTTTACCTAAGCATAACTGAACGTACATAACAAAGATTATTGCGCTGTTGGGATTGCTGTCGCTCAATCAGAAGTCTTTTTTTTTATTCTCTAGATTGGTGATTTTACTATGTTTCAAGAGATAAATGACCTTGTTTAGTTGCCCTAGTTATTCAATGACAATGTCAATTGGCACCATTAGTCATCTTTTTCTTTAGGAAAGAAACTTTTCCCTTTTACTTGATGTGAAAGAGACAATGAAGTGGTCAAATGATGTCAATTTGTTTTTCAACCAATAATTTGTTCTCAATTACAATTGTCATGAAGTGCGGAATCATCTCAAAACAACTCTGATGCATAAAGATACAGCAGTCTTTAATTACCTTGTCTGAGTATTTTCTCAAAACCTAGACAGGTATAAACCTTATAAAACATTGTATTTTCTGGTGAATAGAATAATGGTTGGTCTACCTCCCGTGGAGAGCAGAGAACAGATCTTGAGAACTCTTCTGGCAAAAGAGAAAGTGGAAGATCTAGATTTTAAGGAGCTTGCAAACATGACCGAGGGATATAGTGGAAGTGATCTTAAGGTCTGTTTTTTGGTGGTAAATGGCAATGTTCAATTTAGTTCTTTGTCAACTGGTAATGACCATTGGCTTTAACTACTGAAAACAGAATTTATGCATAACAGCAGCTTATCGACCTGTCAGAGAGCTAATACAGCAAGAGAGACAAAAAGATATGGTATACTCTTATATTCTTTGCTATTCTACCTTTTCTCTTCCCAACTTTTTCATAATTGTGTGGCTTCATTATTTATATTAATAAATTCTCTTCATATGAAAAGAAGCAGAAAACCGAAGAAGGTCAGAGCTCTGAAGATGCTTCAGATAGAAAAGAAGGTAGAGAGGAAAGAGCAATTATTTTGAGGCCCTTAAATATGGAAGACATGAGGCAGGCAAAGAATCAGGTATTCTTGGTGCTCTATTTTTTTGAGTACTCTAGGAACTACAAATCCAGGATGTCTATATAATAAAACACATAGCAACTTGAATTTTTATCCCCTACATATTTTGCCCCCTAAAAATATCACATCACTCATTTCTATCACATGTTTAATCATTTATATATTTCTCCCTTAAAAATATCACATCACTCATTTCTATAATAAGTTTAATCATTTAATATTTGATTAATTTGTAATTAATATAGTTTTTATTTCAAACATTATTCATATACGATAGTATACACATGTTGAAAAAATTTAATATAGTGGAATTGATTTTTTGAGCACTCAAATTTTATATTTTATTGTGCTTTTAGGCACGGGTTATGACTAGTCCTTCCATATAGAAACTTAGCTAAAGACTCTCTGTCTCCAAGCAGATCTTCAATAAATGATTATGATTTTAAAATTTAATTATGGACCTGGTAAATTTGGCTGAGCACAGTAAATTTGAGGGTTTGGATAGGAAAGCAGTCACTTTGTGCAAATAATGTCTAAAGGTGAACGAAACTGCATTAGGTTTGAATCCTCACAACCGTGCAAATATTGCAATACTAGACGTTTCTATTGGATTCTTTAACAAATTCGGCCTTGGGAACTGTAGGTTGCTGCCAGTTTTGCTGCTGAAGGATCTGTGATGAGCGAGCTGAAGCAGTGGAATGATTTGTACGGAGAAGGAGGTTCAAGAAAGAAGCAGCAATTGACTTACTTCCTTTAAGTTCAGAGTGTAGGCATTTGCACACTTATCAGCACCATTCTTCATATGGAAGACCAAGAAGGCTTTAAACTTGATTATTCCACGACAGAAGAGAAAGGAAAACAATATTTAGATGCTCCGAAAGGCATACCTCAAATCAAAAGAAACCTGAGAACACCTGAAAAGCTTGGATTGGCGTGTGCCCATCTGGAAGCATTTGCCATTTGCAGATCATCAGAGAGACAGAGACTTAGTTTCTGTCAGGCATTTCTACAAGCCTTATGCCACAAGTCTGCTATGTAAATTGTGTGTGTAGTTGTTGAAAATTATCAAGAGGCCTAGTAAATGGTGGACAAACTTGTATGGGATTTGGTTTGCATGGTGTAGTGCTTGGACAGGAGCTTCATTTCTATAGCACATTGTACATTGTTCTTATTTAAACTTGATTGTGTTGTATATTATGATTATATTCTTCTCTACTATCAGATTAGTGTATACTGTTCTTGTTTGAAGGACAAGAATTCCAATAGCCATGTATGTATTTTTTTTTATTTCACACACACACACGTATAAACTAATAAATTTTCCCATCTTGTTAAGGATAGTATTCAAACAATTGATACATGGTATTACCAACTGTTCATAAGGCATCATATAAATTTAATGGACATGACTTTGTTTAATAATTGTCAATAAAAATCAAATCTTGTGACTAATAAACACATTAGATTAATAGAGTTCATTATTTGTATGTTGTGTTTTATGATTGATCGGTGATACCATAAATTAATAATATCGTGATCGATCTAATTATTTTTGTACTAACTCTCCTATTATTTTTCAATACAAATCATTAACACTCCTAAATTGGTCCATGCGCATATGCAAATGTTACCGGAACCTAACAGTTGAGCTTAGCCCTGACGTCAAACAACTGAACAAGGCAACAAGGCTAGTCGTGTGCTGTGAAGCACCGCCTTTCTCCGATCCTTCTTATATATTGCGTCTCTCTCTCTCTCTCTCCTGTGATTTGGCCCTAGACGTATTTGTCTTCGATTTCGAGAAGAATGGGAGGGCCATTAACGAGATACCGAATGCTAGGTCTAAGAGAGTCCCTATCTGAATCGGATCAGTATTCAATTGCCTGCAAACAACTGTGCTTCATTCTGAGAATCGCTTACTCCAAAGTCGAGAAAATTCTCCGGTCTCTCATCTTCCAGGACATCCTCACCGCCTTTCGCCTCCTTCCACAGTAAGTTTCTTTCCATTTCTGATTGTTTTCCTGCTATCAATGATCCATTTTTCTTCTCTATTCATGTTGAAGATGATATCAAGTGAGATGAGATCTAACAAAACCTATTTTCAAAATTCTTAGTTATGTTTTGGATTCTTGCTAATTTGAATGAGATGCGATTAGATAGTCAATCTGTGTGTGTGTGTGCGCGCGCGCGTGTGTGTAGCCTAGCCTTACTTGGATTTTATTTAAAAATCAGAATGCAGACACAAGCAGCCGTTTCTGCGGCTAAACTCCTCCTTCAGAATGCAGAGGCTGCATTGCCAATCCAAATGAAGGTTCTGGCTGTAATGGAGTTCAAACATGCAATGGTTGCGTGTAAGAGGCGATGTGAAGCCCGACAGGAGGAAGAATGTGATCTGAAATTTCACGAATTTTCAATTTATTTACTGCTAATATAGTTTTATTTATGTTATTCTCTTTCGTCACACATATATAGATTCTGCTATAATTCAGGTTTGGTTCAACTTCCTCCAGATGTTCTTCTGCACATCTTCAGTCTCGTAGATTGGAGATCTTTAGCTTCTGCTGCGGTAGTCTGCCGGTAATTTTTCAATTCGTGCTTTTGACATGTTATACTGGAGGTCGCGGAGGGAAGGGTTTGGGGATTCTGTATTAATCTTTCAAATTACCATCATGATCAATCACATGAAAGTTCCTATGCGCACATTACGCTGGCAAATGTGATCGGATTTGGACGGAAGGTCCACATTGGCCCAATCAAAGAGTTGGATGACTCAATTGAGACAAAATTTGGTTTAAAGATTTGAATTGAATCCAGTGAAATAGTTTAGGGGACCATTTTTGACAATTTTGAACTGTTTTATTTACTATTGTGCAGGTCATGGAACACAGCATCAAGTGACAACTCTCTGTGGCATTTGCAATATGTTGCTTGCTTTGGTAATTTAGATCCTAGAAGTGGAGAAAGGGTTGAGAAGGAGGAGTTTAAACGTTTAGAAGAGGACGTTGCTGCTGGAGTTTGTACTGACTGGAAAGATGCCTTTAAGAGAGCATATACAGGTATCCTGGAAATGGACGTTGCAAAAATCAAGTTTCCCCAAGGATATTATTAGTTGAAATATATGACATTAGTAGTGAATCAGAACTCACTGAAAAGAAATGATATGGACAGAAAATGGCGGTGATATGTAGCACTAATATTGTTTAAATCAAAAGGTATCACTGTGTACATAAGTTACTTATCGGAGTTTTGGAGATAGTCTTTCCCGCTAAAATGTTTGTAATTTCAGTTTGATCTCTTTGTATCAGTGAGACAGTAAATGTTGTTTAACCGCACCCGCACCCACATCCACCCACCTCTTACATATGCATTGGCAGAGGAATCCATGGTTTTTCCAATTAACCTTGCCAGTCACTGTGTTTCCTTTTCTTCTTATTGACAGTATTTTTTTGATTTCAGGCCTTCTTTTCAAGAGATTTACATTTAGGGGCTACTGCAGTTGCTGTGATGCAATAGTCTGGCTCAGTAACATGACATTTTACTATTCCTTTGAACCCTGCGCACCATATTGTCAAGAACACGAAATCAAGCCTCTTATCAACTCAGCAGGTAAATTTTAAATGTATGATTCTTTAGGCTCTAAACACATCTTCAAGTTCACATACATATCAGAGTCCCCCAGTTTTAAGCTGAAAATATCTGTGTTTTGCTTTTGCCAGATTGTTGAATACGTTATTTATTTTGTCCCTCCACCTACTGTCTATTCGGAAGATAATAATAGCGATAGTGAGGCAGACGAAGTGTCCCTCTCCAAGTTTTGGGTCTACCCCTGGTGAACTAGAATGCGTGATAGTGATTCAAATGAATGGGCTATCCCCAAGTTGTTGCCTTACCCCAGTATGTTTGAGTTCACATGGTACAGTTTTTTGCAGGAGTTATTGCTCATATTGTGGGTGCCATAATATTGGAGTTGAGTAACTTGTTCGAATAGAACTTTGATTGTTGTCTCGTTCCTGGTTTTCCTTTCAGGGAATGAGAAAACTGGTATATTGGCTAGCACAGGTTTGCGACTTGCATCGTCAATAGAATATCTCTGGAGCTTCTGCGAGTCCTATAAAATTCTTCCTAAACCTATATTAAAAACTGAGTTAACTATCTCTTTAGATCTGAACTATATCATTTTGTGTCAATCAAATTCCTAAACTATATTGTGTCAATTTAGCATTTGAACTATGCAATCGAACTCAATGTGGTCTATCCGTAAAAATTCGTCATTAATTTTGACGGAACCTCTCATGTGCCCATCATGTTGCTCCTAAACTATAACCTAATTTTTGACTCACGTGATGTGTATATGAGGATTTCCGTCAAAGTTAATGGTGTATTTTGACAGAAATATCACAGTGAGTTAGATTGCATTCAAGGGCTATTAAATTGACACAAATGTTGCAGTTCAAAAAAAAGCATAAAAATTTCATTTGATTAGACTGCATTGAAGTTCTCTCTCATTTTTTTTCTTTTTCTTTTATTTTGTTATACTGCTAAACCCCTAAGAGTAGAGGGAAATCAAAATTGACATGAAGTGGTTACATTAGTGCATTTGGTTACTTTCCTTTTGCCCATCTTGCCTTCAAGAAAAAAAAATGCCAATAGATATAATTACTCGTGTTCTAGCAGAACGCATGAATCAGAGAGTAGAATGACAAAAAAATAAAATCTTTATGTTGCCAATTTCAAATAATTGGTATAAAAAGTTTTGTTGAATTGAGATTGGATATTGCATTAAGCTTTTTGAACCTTTTTTTTACAGGTTTGGTTGTTACAAATGTCTAATACTCTTACTCTATATGGGTATTCATAGGTCGGGTTGGCCCATGAGTCCTGTCACCTGGCCCAAAAAAATAGGCCCAAAATCTAATAAATCTGATAATTGGCCTATTTAAGCCCGAGTCTAAAATTTTTTAAAAGAGAGTTTGGACTTGTTTCAAATCCATTACGTGGCTCGAAAGCTGATACAAAATCCGGCCCAAGAGCCTGCTGGCCCAGCCCTTTCTACCCTTCCACCCAATTTGTTTGTTTGAAAAAAAGTTGAACTTTGAAATTTTGATAGGAATATATGATTCTACTTTATTTAAATAAAATTATTCATTATTTATTTTTTATCCATTTTGACTCTAATTTTAATTCAAAAATATAATTTACAAAAATATTAAATTAAAAACTTTTTAAATGAAATTATGTGTATATATATAAAAGCTCGCCCAGCAGAACCACTCAAGGCCAATACCATAGGCCTGTCCATTGAATGACGAGTTGAATTGCAGGTACCCTACCCTACTTGAAGCCCGGTTGGCCTGTCAATAACTCACATGAATAAGAACTTAGACTTATCATACTCAATCCGAAACACAAAAATGTCAATAACTCACCTGAGTAACAACTTAGGCTTATCATACTTAATACGAAACACAAAAATTTCAGATTTAGCCCAACCCGGCCCATGGACACCCCAATCTATAATGGGGCACCCTGAGACCGTGTTTCTTTGGCAGAATACAGAGCATAGATTGTTCTGAAGGATACCACCATAGGTACTGACAGTCACGGGGGCATATCTTTGTAAAGCCTAATTGAGCGGACAATACTAGTGTGCCTGTTAGAACTGCAAATGCACATCATCCTTTGTAGTGGCCCTGCACGATATCAAGGGCAATATGTATGCCCAATGTACAGAATGATGTTGTCAATGCTGCTCTAAAACGAGAAGGGGTGGGTCATTGAGTGGGATGCTTAAGGTTGAATGCCAATCGAAGAAGGTTGTATTACAAATTTCAACCCATATATTCTAACATCATATCCTGCGTAATCATCTTGCGGGAACTTGTTGCTGATTCAAAGCTTTTAACCAACCAAGGATCCAGAAATGAAAAATCATGTGAAATATTGAAGGTTTTTGCAACACTATATATACGACCCTTTACATGAATTGAAGGAAAACATTATGAACCCCCTTCAAGGAGAAGCCCTAATTAACCCTTGTTTTTCAACTTCACTAACACCATGCATGTATTTATCACAAAAGTCTATAAGATTCTAATTTTGTAGCAAGAAGCAACAGCCAACAGAGTGTATCCCCCTTCAACAAATGATAAGCATATAAGAGACGATTGAATCTAGATATATGCAAGCACGTCATAAAAGAAACAACTCCGAGATCATGCAATACAACGGTGTCACACCAAGCATAGGCATAAAAAAATCCAAGTGATTCCAAGAAGGCAGAAGTTAGAACTGATGTATGAGCTAAAACTTGGAATTGTGCCCAATACCAAGTCGATTAGAATTGAGTCCAAGTGTAGCTGAAGCAGAATTAATACACGGGTTCAAATAAATAACAAGTCACCACCACTTAGAAAACGTCAGTTACCCAAATGCCAATTACCTTAATGTCCTTATGCCAGCTTCTTGTCTTTCAGTGGCCCTCTCGGAATCTGACTTAGAACCTTGGCATTAAACACCACATACTGCTTCTTGAGCTTGGCCTCTATTTTCTCGGCAAAGGAGTCTACCTGGTCCTCGTATTTCTCATAGAGCACGGGCACTGTATGCAGCAAAACGAAAGCTGTTTTCCAAAAAAAAAAATTAGAGCAAACCCAAAATATGAGAAAATACCACCTGAATATCCTACCATGTTGAACGTTATTGGTGTAATACATAGTACGCAGCAGATACACATACATAGTGAAATCGAAATGAAAATCCTTACATATGTAGAACAACGTCAGGAAGTTACAGCAACTTCCCAAAATTGAAAGAACCCAAGCGCCAGAGATTACCTAATAACCAGGACAGTCTTGTGAGTGAAATATAATAGATCATCCAATTTCATCAGATCATTTAAGGATACAAGCCGGTCTTTGAAGAATAAATGAAGATTGTTTAACAATGACAGCAATAAAGTATATGAGACATACAGCTAGAAACTTCTTCAAATCTCTCCCGGATGCAATATTTTGGAGGATTGCAAGAGCTCTATTGATTTCAATAATGAAGGCAGAGGCTACACCCAGGACTATATCCTCAGACAGTGCAACTTCTGGGATTGGTGGTGGAGACCTAATCATGTAAAACAAGGTCAGAGACAAAATAAGATCAGGTCAAATCATTGTAAGTTACATAGGAAAATGACACAGCTTACTTGTTGATAAATGAGGATGCATTTGACCACAGGAAAAGGATTGCCAGAGAAAGTATCAGAATATGGCACACAAGAGTGAGCAAGTGGTATTCAAACAATTCAAAAAACACCCAAATAGCAGTGGCAACACCTATCACACCAGCAGAAATTTTCTTGTTCCTCCAGAGGAAAACATCAGCAGCTGCCACAAAAGACTAATTGTGAGACACAGAATAGAATCTTTGTGTTTATTCAGTTTTCCTACTAAAGACCTCACCTATTCGTTTTTTTTTTTTTCAATGTACGCTAAGGTAAAGAAAAAGGCAAACATGCGAAATATCAAAGTATTTGCACCTTAATACATCACCCCAACTACAACAAAGCCCACCGGTATCTACGAAGCACAGACACTCGATTTTGGCTCACGTATCATGTATCCGTGTGATACGGACAAGCCTTATCTTCACTTGGTATATGACATGTGGGATACAATGATAGAAAAAATGAGGATTGCAATATATAGGCATGAATGAAAGCGGGTGGAGGAGTCATCCACGTTTTATAATATGTGTGCACAAAATTCTTGTTGATCGTTGGAATAAAAACAACACTCTCCTCCATTGTCTTGCCCATTCATTGAATCTAAGGTGATTTATGATTCTTAGATTTTTCTTTTCCCCTCTTAATTATACACTATTTTTTACTTCTTTTTTATTTTCTCTTATTTATTGTACTATAGTGATCACTAGCTTCATGAGGACCCTACTCAAGTTTCTCTGCACAAAGATATGAATATTTCTCTAAAAGGAGTGAAATGCATAAAACACTATTTTTCTACTTCAGAGAATCATGCAAAGGTATATGAGAAATTTGACAATTTCTCAATGAAGTCCGGAGAGTTTGGGATATTGACTCAATCCATGATTGCTATAGAATAAACCCTAAAAATTTGTGGGTCGCCCATGAGGCAAGTGCACCTTTGCTTCAAAGTTTAACTTTGAAGCTACTTTTGCAACCGTCTTCTTCATCATGTTGTGAGAGGAATTGGAATACTTATTCTTTTGTGCACTCCACTCGAATGAATAAGATGACACCAAAACGTGCCGAAGACTTGGTCTTCATTCATTGCAATTTCGTCTTCTATCAAGAAGAACCCCATAATATATGCAAGGAGAAACTAAGATGTGAAATATTGTCGAAGATGCTTTTGATTTGTTTCAGGATATAGGAGAACTTGAGATTGTACAACTTTAACTTGATGAACCGGAGTTAGAGGCCACGGTCTTTAGTGAGGATGATAATAAATGAAGTAGTGGTGGCGGTGGTGGTAATGGTAGTGGTAGTTGTAGTGGACCTAGTGGTGGTGAGTCAATTGAAGTTTAATGATCTTAATCAAAATGAAACCTTTTGTTTGAATGAGATTAACAATGTTTTTATTTTTGGTATATTTGTAAAGATTTCTAGTATTGGATGCTTACTATTTAGCTATAAAAAAATTGAACTGTGAATGTTGCATAATGAATAAATGGAACAAAAAATCTTTCTGTTATGTTCACAATTATTTAATGATAATGTGGTGGTTTAGTTGTTTTAATATCTTCTTTGATCCAAAAATGTTGAGTTTGTATCATATAGGCTTATAAAATATATTTTTAAATATATTTATTTAACGTGTCCTTATCCTACTTTTTTGAAAAATAACGTATCGGCATGTCCGTATCGTGTCGTATCCGTGTTCATGTCTGTGCTTCATAGACCGGTATGGTAACAAAACACAATATATCTCAAGGAGGATAAAAACAATCCAACACTTCATATAGAAAGTTATGATGCTGAATCCTTCACAGAAGAACAAACTCAATTCGAGTCACAATAATTTTTTCAATAAGCTCAGCCAACAGGTTTTACTGGGTCTTGAACAATTAAATTGAAAGACATGAAGTATCTTTTACTTTCCCTTCTGCATTTTTCTTAATCTCCTCATACTATTGTTACTGTGCAATAGAAAGATAAATAAACAGTTTTTCAATAAGCTCAGCCAACAGGTTTTACTGGGTCTTGAACAATTAAATTGAAAGACATGAAGTATCTTTTACTTTCCCTTCTGCATTTTTCTTAATCTCCTCATACTATTGTTACTGTGCAATAGAAAGATAAATAAACAGTTTCATTATGTTAAACAAGAAATGCAAATATGCAAAGACAATGCTAATCACACAATAATTAGCATTATAAGCATTTGATGTGTTCTCCGTGTTATCAACAACACTGTAAAATGACATACAACTATTTACTTATGAATAAGTAGCAGTTATGTAGGCCAACATACTACTACATTCTTCTCTCATTTCTATTTCTTTTCTAACAAAGTAAAGGATTGAAACTATATATCTTCACTGACAAATTTAAACTCCATCAAATGATAATCTCAATACGTGACAAACATCTTTTGAATTTAAACGATAATCAACATGACAGATCTAGAATAATAAGCGCACCATAATCTGACTAACAAGAACAAGTTATCATTTAATCATCAAAAGATACATCACATAAAACAGCATTTATAATGATTTAAGAAAGCACAAATGTCACAGGTAAAACAACAAAATCCACACATTTCGACAATCCAAATCAAGAAACACAATAACAATTCCTTGTAGTCGCAAATAACTACAAAGCCTACTTGCATTATTGCATACAAGCGCATTGGCATTCAATATGAGATGTAAATCCTCATTTCTAATTTGCGCTCATACTCCAACGCACACAATGAGAGGGAGGGGGAAGAGGTAATGGATCATAGACGTACGTTTTCCTCCACCTAGAACTTTATGAACGGGCTTTTCTCTCCCAAAGAGACGATAGATCTTGGTTTTGACGGAAGCCACGGGCGACGAGTGGTTCTTATCATCGTCGGAATCTGAAGACGACGAATCGTGGCCATGCAACTTCTCAGAGATCTTCTCCATCACCGTTTCAACGGCTGATTCGTGCTCACCGGGGTGATCGTCCATCGCGATCGATCCCACACACACAGCGCCGGCTATACTATCGAAGTTCTGAGGTGGATTTGAGTGAGCTCTCTTTTTTTTCAGTTAAATATCGAGTCACTTTTTTATCTCTGTCCTTGTTGTTCTACTCGAGGATAACGGAACGTTTGATTTGACGGTGCTTGCGTGTGCTTTTCGAGGCATTGGTTTTTTTTTTTTTTTTTTTTTTGTTGAGAGATGCAATTTAAACAAAAAAATATAAACACTTTTGCTCCATTCCTTTCTCACAATTAGATGAACTATACTTAATTCCCTATTCATTAATTCGTTTAATTTGTTTATAAATAAATGAATTGAATATTTATATTAATTAATATAGATTTTAAATGAGTTCAGTAATATAATTTATTTTAATTAAGCGAGGGGTTTAGTATTTATTTTTTTATTAAATAACATAAATAATAAAATTAAAATAAATATATTAATATACTAAAAAATACATACACACTAATACACTAAAAAATAAAAATATATACACTAATACACTAAAATACACATATACTAGCATACCAAAAATACACACTAATACACCACTCACACCCATGACCCGAGGACTCGTGACCCAGCTCATGACTCATGGGTTGACTCATGACACATGACTAGGGGAGTCAATGGCCGTGGTGGATTGGATTAGGTTCGTGAATTTTTTTTTTGGGTCGGACTTGGATAGTGTATGTTCAAGTTCTTACCTAAGTGAGTTATCAGACGGACCAGACTAAGCTTTGAGTAGGAGTAGGCTACTCATAGCCCAACCCGCTTGCTGGGCGGGCTTGTTTGCGGGCTTTTTGATATACAATTTTATTTAAAAATAATGAATATTTTTATAACTTAATATTGTAAATTATATTTTTAAATCAAAAAAAGCGTCAAAATAGATAAAATAAAATAATAAATAAATTTATTTTTGATTGAGAGTTGAACTACATCCAATAGAATGAATATATCTAAACTAGGTTGACATTTATTCACTTATTTATCATTTTCATTACTCTACCTTTTAAAACTTGTATGCTTAATACATGAAAAAGAAAATAATACATTATTTATAGTATCTAAATTTTTAAAATTTTAAATTCCAATAATGAGAGATTTATTTGAAAAATTTAAATTTAATATTCTAAAAGTATAATTTTTTTTCAAAAGAAAGGTAAACGGGCTATGTGGGCGAGCAGACTATTGGACAAAGTTTTTTCGGGAGGACTATTGGGCTGAGTAATGGGTTTGAGGTCAAACACAAACCCTCTTTTTAAGAATATTGGGCTCGAACGGGTCAACTATTGCCCCTATCAGGTTTCAAGTCTATTTTTTTTGAGGTAGGTAATGGGACCCATAGGTAACCAAGTCCATGGACACCCCTATCCCATGACCTATGAGTCGACCCACAACTCGCAAACTGACCCATGTCCACAGTCGACCTTGACCTATTATTTGTGTGTATTTTTTTTATTAAATGTGTTTTAGTTTATGTTAATATATATGTGTATTTTTGGTATATTAGTGTATCTTTTAGTATATTAGTGTGTGTTTTTTTGGTATATTAATTTGTGTGTGTTTTGGTGTAATAATGTGTGTGTGTATTTATATTTTAGTTTACTACTAATGTGTGTATGTGTGTTTTGATGTACTAATATGTGTCTATTAAAAATTTTAATTATTTTATAGGTTAATGCGTTTAACCCAACCCGTTATAAATTTAACTCATTATAAACCATTTAATACGAGAGTAAAACATATATTAGATTTATTTTATTCTAACTCAATTTAACCCAATTTATAACCGACTCAAATCACCCATTTGCCACCTCTATTCACAGCTATCGAATAGTTATTGGATCTTAATAAATAATGAAACTCACGTTATATCTAAAGCAACAATGTTCGAAGCTAACAAACATTTAAAATTATAATTTTTAAATTTATTTATTAAATATTGTATCTTAAACAATATGCCAAAATTTTATATATTTAATATTTAGTAAAAGTTAATGAATTCTATTAATCCAACCATTCATATTAATCTATAATATAAAATTTAGTAAATAATTTAATAAAAATAACATTACCAATTTGTTACAACATGCGAAACGATTATAGTAAGGAATTTTTCTTAGTACGAACGAACGAATAATTTTATTGGAAAAAGTCAAATATATACAATCTTGTTTCAGATGATATTTTTATCTACGACCAAATCATTGACATTCAAGTTACAATTGAGCAGCAGTACCATTGCACACTCTGCTCTCAATAGTTTTAGACAATGGCAAGGTAAATATTTTGAGCTGCAATGTGTACACTATCGATCAGAAGTAGAAAAAGCCTCACATATAGAAATTAACGACACCAGTATGAAATATATGCATATCGCAGAAATTAGAAAACCAACAGAGTCAAGAAAATTAACACCTTAGAGAGTTTACCTTTGAGATAGTTTTACTTTTTGTTGGAACAATCCACAGGTTTCAGAACTGCCTTCGAAAGGAAGTATGCCTAAAGAGTTGCAGAAGCTTAGAAAACGCTTCAAAGCCTCTTCGCTTTCCACAATTAGAGAAAGGTCTTGCTTGATGCCAATCAAATTTATTCCACCGTATATCCTTTTTGGTTGTTAGAAAACAGAACATTTTGGGGAATATGCTTTGGAAGTACCCAACTAGACCGAGTTGACTCAAAGTCATCTTATTAGCTTGAATGAGTCAAATCTGTGTCTCAAATGCTTTAGAAACTGTTATGTACGGTCTTAGCCATGTCCATAGCATAAAAGGTTCAATAAATATATTTTTCGATTTGACTCTCTCGTCTAATAAACATGTTTTTCGATTCGAATCTCTTGTTCTTTCTATTTACATTGTTTTTAATCTAAGATGACTTAGATAAATAGAATATGTTACCCACGAAATCAAAGCAAAACGAGATACTTAGAAATATATTAATTCCCCCAGGTTATGTAATTTGGACCGAAAGGTTGCTTCCACAAACAAAATACCGATGGCTAAAGTTTGGGACAAACTGCATAGGTAGTAAAGAGTTCTCAGAATAATTCTTAAGGGTGGTTCATGTTAAAGTATATTTAAATTACACCTTCTCCAATAACTTAAGTTTTTGGAGTAAATAGTTGTTTAACATAATATTATAACAGGAGATAAAGATTTTCAAGTATTAAGTTTAAAATTTGCACGTTTTGAAATATAAGTTTTTGGAATAAATGATTATTTAATAGTTGAATGGTGTATTGAAGTATAAATATTTAAGTTACAACAACTTAAGCTTTTGAAGTAAATGATTGTTTAACCATTCAGGGTGAGTCTGGTCTCTAGTAATCTAAAGATCTCAGGTTCAACACTTTTCACACCCCCAAGGGTCAAGCACTGTTGTTCTTCAAGAGACATGTTCTAAATCTGTTTGGAATACAACGGCAATATCCGAACTTAAGAGAGTAGTCGGAGCACAAGCCTAAACACATTGTAGTAAAAAAAAATATATATTCTCAAAACAAAACGGAATTAAGAGAGATACATAATAAGTGTACCTAACTCAAAAAGAAAATCAAACTCCCACATCTATGCCAATACCATCAATTATGATTTATCTATAATATAAAATAGGATAAATTTTAATAAGTCATCCGACGGTCTCAAATAGACCTATCCAATAGCCGTTAACATCTCTATCAAAATTATTCATATTGTATCGTGTTTTCGGACACAAATTATTCCTATTATTTCAATAAAATACACACAAAACCAGCAAATCTTAAGCAATAAATAAATAACCATTCTAACATGAGGCCGGGTGAAACAACCACAAGTCATCATCCAACAAAATCATATCCAAGAACCCTAAAGTAGACTCATGCCGTGGCTGCTGTGATGCAGTAGCTGACAAGGCTGTGGCCGCGCGACAGTTCGGGCACGAAGCTTTTTGCTTCAACCAAGTATCAACACAACTTGGATGGAATATGTGCCTGCAATGTGGCATCACCCTCACTATCTCTCCTACCTCGTATTCACTTTGACAGATTGTACATATCGTGTTATTGCTCGAATTCAATTCCAGGGGTGGGAACTTGAGGAGCAGGTTATCATGGCGTCGAACAACATGCCCCTTGAATCCAAATCGAGAGCCAAAATTGAATGTCACAAAGATTGCGAAGCTGAGAATGAGGAACAAGAGAAAGGCGGGTAGGTTGAAGTAGTCCGAGCTGGAGATGCTGTCACTCATGATCATGGTGGCAATGGAGGAGGTGAAAGCTATTGGGGTGCTTGTTGAAATTTTAGATGGATTATTGAACACTGTGAACTTCAATGGGAGAAGTCCATTAGTGGGGGCTCTGTTCTTCAATTCAAGCATTGAAAGAGAGGCTATATATAATACACTAACTACATTAAAACCCTACTCTGTTTCCATAAATAATCTCTGTGGAAAGATTTGCAAAGCCAGCAAAAAGGTGAAAAACCTTAGAAGATACACCTTAATAGTCATATTTCTGAAAAGATTGCAAAGAAAATTAGTTGAAGATTTATTTCCACAATTAGAGAGAGATTCCCAGGAAAAATAATTGGTAAGAGGATTAGTATTGGGCTTGGTTGAGTTTAGATTGCTTGTTTCTGAGTCTTACCGTGTTAATATCCACTAGTTATGCCTGCCTGGGTTGTCTTTCGTTTTTTTGGGAGGGGTTAAATCGGCCAACGGGTAGACATGTGTTGTTGATTGAGTGTAATGTTGACATCACGTTATCATTGACAGGTGATGTTATTATCTAATAAAAACATAACAAATAAGAAGACGACAAGGTTAGTTACATTTACATAAGCTCTATGTGCAACAATTTTTGTTTCCATTAAAGTTATTGAATTAAAAATACATGCCATTTAAATTAAAACTCATAATCATCATAATAAATAGAGTAAATTTAATCCCAAAATTAAACTTCAAATAAGTTCCAACGTGGAGGCAAATTACACTTTATACCTCAAAAGATTAAAGAATTTTTATTTTGTATATTCAAATATTAAATTTTTCATATTACACCCTGTGTTAAAAGTATTGCAACATGATATTTTCATTCATTTTCGTTTCTCATTTCATCGTTTTTTGGTTTGTGTTAGACATTCATGCGTAAGGATTGAGATGACCGAATGAAGTCCGTTGAAACTTGCAAGTCAAAGCTTTAATTCAACAAGCCAGAGCTCTTAAAAAGGTTGGTCCAAAAACACAAGAAGCGTGCACCCATCTGCACCAATAGCTACCCTTTATAAAGAACCCTATGTTTGACGCATCAGATTCTTTTGAAAAAGACCAGAAACAAAAAAAGAAAAAGAAAAAAAAAAAAGAAGGCAAAGCTCCCTTATTGGAGTCCTTTCTTTTTGGCTTTTTTTCCACATCTTCTTTACTTCTCTTTTTGGAAGTTTCTCGTCAACATCCAAACAAACCTTTAATGTGTGTTGACGTAGTGTAACATTTCAACCTAATATCATTTCACTTTGCACTCGTTCTGGAGAGTCTTGTAATAAGATGAGGTGGCACAACTTGAGTCCACGTGTCATTTTCTAATACGGGAGTTGTTTCTGTCTTCTCAGTTAGTACCACTCAATTTCACTAAACTTGAATTTTATTAAAAAAATATTAAATTATCAAATGCGTAATGGGCCCACTAAATATTTATTCAAATATTTTTGATTGGATCATATAGGATTACCAAAAAGTTCTCAACACAGAATTCTCTGGCTTCAACTTTGCTTCCCAGAAACAACATTCTGAGTTTTTGCCAGAGCCAACGCCATAAAACGAAGGGAAAAAGCTCCCTTTAACCGTAGGCTCACGTTTTCACTTCCTTTATACACATTGCTCTCTCCCCTCTCCCCCCTATCTCTCTTGCTTGCTCTAACTTCACTCATAATAAAACCCAAAGTTCTCAGCTACTACTGTCAATCACTACTAATCTCGCTCTTCCAAATATGGATGTTTTTACCTTACTCGAGTTCTGGCGCAATGCCGGTGCCAACACCACCGCCCATGGCAACCTCGATGCAAATATCAGCAGCAGATCCACTGTCATCACTGCCTCTGTCAGCGACGACGTTCGCAATCAGCCGCTGCAAATGTATGACGATACCGGCGACGAGTCGTTTTTCGATTTAGTCTTCACAGAGCCTGATGGCGATGGCAAAGAACAAAACTATGCCAGGAATGTCGACATCAATGTCCATGGCAAGAAATTCTTCACAAAAGACAGGGAGACAAGATTCAGTTTCGTCGGATCTTCTAACAATTTTTTCTTCAACAGGAACATATTACCTATAGAACCAACTTCAAAGCCTCAATCTTCAACTTCTTTGTTGAAATCTCCACCGAAGTTTCGAGCCTTTATGTTAGGCTTAAAGAAATCAAAATTAGAGAAAACACAGGCAAACGGTACTGATGCCACAGCGACTCTGGAGCGTCTCCAACAGAAACCATCACTACACGGGCAAAGCAAGCGTTTCACAGTGGAATGCGAACATGAAGAAGTCCCTATTGCTTCACTTTTAACGAGAGACAGTAGTCTGAGAAGCAAACTACAGAAAGAGATCTCAGACGAGAAGTCAGATTCTTTAAAGCGAATCGTGAAGGACGGTGTTCACAAATATTTCAAGCTAATTAAACCGCTTTATGTTATTGTGTCAAAGAGATATAGGAAGAAAATGAGGTTTCCCAATCAGTTCTCCACGGTGACGCCATTGTCGTCTCCGGCACCGGCTCGTTCGTCTGGAAAGCAGGCAGAGGAGAAACACGCGAGTTTTCCAGCTGGATTTCGAGTGGCGTGTAACCATACAGCGAAAAGCCGCTTGGCCGTCGATATCATGCCGTCACAGGGTAGTCGAAGAGATGGTTCGCTCTTGCAGAAACATGAAGATGATGGAATCCAAAGCGCCATTCTTCATTGCAAAAGATCGTACAACTCTTCCTCCAAAGGTACTACAATTAATTGCATTTTTAAACCTGCATTTAATTGTTTCATCACTTTAAACTTCAATTTGAAAATAACAATCTGGTTATGTACTTTTCAAATGGTAACCATTTGCCTTTCAATTTGTTTCCAGATAGCTCTGTACTGTCTCGATCTGTTAGTGATTCCAAATCAATAAACTCACCGAGAAATTCCGCCGAAGAAGGAAAAAGATGCAGCATTTGAAGGATGAAAGCTTAATTCATTAGCTTTTTGTAAGAAAAAAAGAACAAAGGAGTTGATCTGACTGAGAGCCAAGGTATCCCCACCATTGCAGAGAGTAGATAATGTTCACTTGTAATTGTCTGTAAAGCTACTGATTACTTGATATCATATATCTTATCTGATAGAATTGGAAGAAATGATGATTTAAGATCTTTCGTCTGGCTGTGACACGACTGAGACTCTGTTTTTAGGCATTATGATACCTTTGAACTTGTTGGAGTAAGTTGTTGAAATCAAAGTCATGATCATTTCTGTTTGAAGATTCCATCAGATACAACAGCTAAATATGATTGTTTCTGATGTAACCTGTTTAATAAATTAGCCAATGTTTGAATTTGTGATTTGTACTTATTTAATAAACATGTCCTAGATAAGTAATGTGCAATGCTATATGCACACCAAATTTGATAGTGGGATCCACTATTATTCGACAGTTGACAATGATTTGAAGCGCATTTTTGGTGCACGTAAAATTATTCGTAAGTAATTCTTAACACGAAGTTGTTAAAATTTGAAACGAATTTACTTAACTCAACACAATAATCAAGCTTATAAATAAAGAATATGCAAAACTGATTTCGAAGCACCCAATTGAAAGATACTATAAATCACAGCAGGATTGTAAATGCAAATATGTAAAAGCACAAATGTAAAGAATAAGCAAACAAGGGAAGGGACTGCATATACTGTAGCCCTTCAAAAACAAAAAGTAAAAATACAGATTTTTGTAAGCCTAATTAAAGAGAATAATATCACACTAAAATAAGCATAAATCATCTGCAAATCACATCCTGAAGCTGCTTGGTTTGGATATTAATCACCATAGAGCAATTCATGTTAGTAGATTTCTTCCTCTTCATCACATACATCAGCTCCACTTTACCTCTCAAACTGGACTGACTGGTCAGCGGCAACAACCCAGAACTGATATCCCTTCCCAACTCCGAATTGCTCGGTACATTCAACGATGTTAGGTCCACCATGACATCGAACTTCCTGGTTGATCTTAGTTTAGCTCGAGCATTAGGAACCAAAGCCTCACCCACCTTAGTGCCCTTGTAGTAGAAATCAATGGAGCTTTGACTGTACTTGTAGCTTCCGAAATTCGTGTTCTTCACCCCAACTTCAGTGATCATACGGATGTTGAATGAAGTGTTCGTAGTTTCAGTAGAAAAGTTCTCGAATGTGGCGGAGCGGACTCGGAACTTGGGAGTTCTGAGTTTCATTATTGTTAATGCGAAGAGCAATATGATACCGGTTTGAAACAAGGCAAATATGACGATATAGATGAAGCATTTCATTCGCTTCTTGCGACGGAGATCTTTGCCTGCCACTGAGGCCACTTCTTCATCGGCTCGGCCATAAGGATTAGCCTGTGGTGGTGGGTAAGTCTGTTGCTGCACCTTTTCTGCCATGGATTTTGGGTTCTAGAGACAGAGAAGGGGGGGGGGGGGTTGATTGCTTGATTAGAAGGGTTTGAAGAAAGAATTGGTGGGTATGGAGGGTTCGTGTGCAGGTATATATATAATGTTTGGTGGGTGGATGATTTCAAGGAAAAAACTAGAGTTTCATGGAACACCATGGTTGAATTTTTGTCAAATGAACGCAAGAAGTGGACTTCCTCTGCTAGATATTGGATGGATTCCTAACGCGTTGATATGGCTTACACTTATTGACTTTCTAGATGTTTTGAGTTTGGCGCGTTTGGGATGGGGTGGGTCCCTGGGAGTGGGAGGTACTTTACACTTATTGAATTAAACTGATAATAAATTCTAATAAATGCCGAAATCACAATCAAATTAATAATTAGTATGATATTAAATGCATATTTTAAATTCATATGACATTATTTCTGAAAAATTGGTGTTAAAGAAGTCACAAACATGATTGGGGCCCATGTCCAATGCTCCAAAAGTGTATCGTGGCCCACAGGTTGGCCCGTTAGTTTCCAACGGCGGTGTAGCCCCCAAATATAGTATCCCTTGGGCAGCTTGATGACCCAACTGGTAGCGACATGCATGGGGCGTGATTTTTTGTCAGCTGGCCTATTGGGCTGACCCGTGAGACAAACATTCACATAAACCTGTGATCCGACCCATTGGCTTAACAAACTTAAAAAAATTTAAAGGTTAATTACATTGGATGTCTTTAAAGTATCGAATTTGTCCCATTTTGATTCATAATATTTTAATTGTATTATTTTAATCCCTAAAATATTAAATATATTTTTATATGACTTGTCAATTGTCACTTGAAAACTAAATACAAACAAAAAATAATTTGAATAAATTTTGAGCTTCAATGAATAAACGTGCAAATCTGAGATGGAGCTATAGAGATCGACTAGATTTGAGCTTTAAGCAATTGGGCTTCTTGTTCATGAGAGAGAGAGAGAGAGAGAGACGGACGCGAGAGAGGGAAGATAATAGAGTTTGGGGGTTTAAGGCTTCGATGCCAGAGAGAGAGAGAGAGAGAGAGAGGAGGCCCTAATGTCTGCAGATAAAATAAGAGTTTTTATAGTCTAGACAAAAAATGCTATTTTTTACTGCTAACAAGATTTGAAGTATGGAGCTCATTAATTCTCCCTTAGGGCATGGTTGTTTGTGCTTTTTAGAAGGGGTTAATAGCACTTATGGTTCCTAAAATATGTATTTTTTTGTTTGTATCAATTTGATCACTAAAGTATTTAATTTGTGTCAATTTAGTCTCTAGATAGACGGAATGTTAAGTTTTTTAACAGAAGTGACTACGTGTCATTTTTTAGACAATATCACGTGCTCAATATGTGATCATTCTATTAAAAAATTTAATGATCCGTCTATGTAGGGACAAAATTGACAAAATTAATACAATATTGACTAAACTGACAAAACAATATTTTAGGGACCAAAAGTATTGTAAACCTTTTTAGGTGTCTATGAAAATACCTTTTTTTTTTATGTTTGCATTTTTGAACCTTGTTTTCAAAACACATTACCTTGAAAAAAAAATAAAAAAATCCCAAATGCGTTTTAATTTTTTATTTTGATAAAAAACTTAAAACAAAAACAGGTGATTACAAAACACAACCTTAATAACTCTAACCAAGGGACCTTTTGAACAAATCTACTTATCCCTAATGATGGGCTAGAATTTGTAATCTTTGTCCGAAGTTACAATACATGAAGATGTGATTAGAAAAAATTGAATTACCTCTAATATATGTTACTTAATGTCATTAGACGATATATTATTCACCCCTGAACTCACTTTTTATGGATTTAAATATAATTTACTATATATAATTGATATCTTATCAATACACGATGGGTGGATGATTGATATTTATCTGTGTAAAAACGGATAAAACTATTTTGAGAAGTTGGGGATAAGATCCAAACTCACAAAAACTCAACTAATGAATCACAAAAACTGACTATAAGATTATATAACAAGAGTAAACATGCAAGCAAATCTGTAAAGCACATGCCAGACATAGCAGCAGGGCTATAGCATCAAACAAATTGATGTGCCCGAAAGAAGCTACATAATAAACAGTAGTCCAAAGACACAAATAATACTGTCATTTGCATTTCACATTGCGCAGTTCCTTCGTCGAGATAACAACTTCCATGGTGCAATTCATATCAGTGGATTTCTTCTTTTTCATCACCTTCATTAGCTCCACCTTCCCTTTGAGTTTTGATTGGCTGCTCAATGTTAAAAACCCAGAACTGTAATCATTTCTTAATTCCGAATTGCTGGGGATATTGGTCGATGTCAAGTCCACCATAACATTGAATTTTTTGGTTGATCTTGCTTTAGCTCGTGCCTTGGGAACAACTGCCTCCCCCACTTTTATGCCCCTATAGAAGAACTCAACAGTGCTGTTATCGAACTTGAAGTGGCCGAAGTTCGTGTTCTTTACACCGAGCTCAGCATTCATTTTGATGTTGAACGATGGCGGAGATGGGGTAACATCAAGAGTGTAAAACGTTACAGACCGAACACGAAACTTAGGGGTTTTGATTTTCATCACAGTGAGTACAAAGAGGAGTATAATCCCGGTTTGGAACACAGCAAAGGCCACAATATAGGCTAGACATTTCATGCGCTTCTTGCGACGGAGTTGTTTGGATTGCTCTGAGTTCGCCTCTTCATCACTTCTGGAATAAGCATTGGCAGGTGCCAAGGGATAGACCGGTTGCTGCTGCTTATCTGCCATCATTTTGAGATTTTCACAAGGTAAGAGTGTGTGTGTGCGAGAGACAGAGAGAGAGATTGCTTAATGCTTGTTGAGTAAGATGGACTGACGGAAATGTAAGATGGTGGGAGAGAGGGTATGGAAGGGGATGTATATATAGTGAACAGATGTGTGGTTCTGATCCCGACTAAGAAGAGGGTGCACCAAATAAAGAAACTCAAATTAACTGTCATGTTATTTGGACTCTTGATTTGATCAATGTAATATTATCCTTCTCATTGATACCCTAATCTCAAGATAGATAGTCTATTTGTGACCAAATCAAAAATATAATTAATAAAGATATAAGTAAACTAATTTTGACATTCCTCAACCTTCGAAGAAAGAAAATAGTACGTTTAAAAAAAGACTAAATGGTTGGCTCGATGGGCTTAATTTCTACATCATCAGAAGGTTCCAAGCGCGTATGGGGGGTCTGATTTTTTTGACTTTATACACGCAGCTCGTATTATCGGGGGTGACGCTGCAACAAAAATTCACGTTATTTTCCATCAAAAATACACGTTATATTCCAAAAGAAAAAAAAAAACACGTTATACTCCGTTATTATTAGAAGCTTCTATAAGGAAAAAAAAAGATAGCTTCCGTGTCATTTCCCCTACGAGTAATGTGTCCATTATTTTCCATTAATGCACGTTATTTTCTCCGTTAATATCTGAGACTTCTAAGTTTTGATGTGGAAAAAGATGGCTTCCATGTTGTTTTCCCCGGCAATATATTGATCAAAAATTTATCATTTAAATAAAAAGTAGTGCTATTAAAACTCAAAAATTTGATTTAATGTACTAACTAAATAATGTGATAATGACGACATGTTTCAATAGATAATAAAATTGTTAGACTTCTTTATTAGAATTCTATTACTTGAAATATGATTAGTTCAACAAATTAAATCAATTTTTTAGATTCTAATAATATTACTTTTAAACAACTCTGAATGATTAAATGAGTTAACGAGATTCACTCATCCAACCATTTTATTTTTTGTTTTTAGGGAATACAAAATTTGAGAAATATTTTGAAAATGATTAGATGAGTTAATGAAATTCACTCATCCAACCATTTCGTTTTGTTTGTTGGGGATACAAAATTTGAGAAATATTTTGAAAAATGTAAACGTGTTGTTGTATTATAAGGTAAGGTGTTTAGGTTTTTATCGACTATTTCCTCAAACCTGAATATTTGTTATCATAGTCCGAGCAAGTTTAAAACATGTCTTAAAAAAAAATGGTGACTAACTTTTAGGGAATAAGAGAAGTGTTGAATCTAAAAATTTTAAATTATCAGAAGTCGGATTTAACCACTGAAATTAGTGAGATTCAAGTAATGCGTAAGTGGTATATGATTGTATTTGCATTGATACGTATATTAAATGAGCATGATTGGTCGATCTGGTCATACTTGATTATGCATGCTGTCACTGGCGAACATTTCTTATGGCCCCGAGACTCTTATGTTTTGATGAGTCTTGTTTGTGGCATAGGTACGATCCACTGACTTCTCGCCGTGGGCTGGGCTAGATTAGGCCTGAAAGCTGAACAGGCCCTCGGCCATAGCACACTGGCTGGCTAACTGCGTGGAGGTGGAGGCCTACGAGTCGGATTGTTGGCCATTTTATTAGCGTGGGCCTGATCGATCAGTCCAGCCCATTAGCCCAGCCAAATTTCAATAAGAATGATTTAAATAGTTCTTAAAACTATATTCCTTGTTTCAGTTAAAACAGTAATAAACGAAATATTGCGTCAATTTTACGAAAAAACTTTATAACTGATTCAGTCTGATTCTTCTACTCAATTCAGTCACATGCTATTCATGTGCGTTGCTAAGCCTCCTTCAGGCAAAAGGACACAAGATATTTATGGAGGAAGGCAATTTTTTATGTGCAATCTGACCAATAATCTGAGCCACACTGAAAAGTGTAAATGACAATCCAACCACCAGATGCTCTTAATCATTTCGATTTGGCATGATATTTGACCATGATTAGGTTGTTCACAAGAACTCTAGTGTGAAGAGAGAGAGAGAGAAGAGGAGGGGGGGGGAGGGAGTAAATATTCAGTGTAAGGATGACAATACATGATAATAATAACGTGATATTATTATTCAATGACAAACTTATAAAAGTGGAGCCCCAACACTAGCGCTATCAAGTAATAATATGGATGACTAATTTATCTCTCATAGATCCCTATTTTTCTGCATGGATGAACTGTCTTTGACCAGACTAAGGAAGAAATTAGTCGAGGTGTAAATTCGAACACCCCTGACCGTTAAACCAAAAAAAAACCCTATAAAATAGGGCATAGTGAACCCTATTTCTTTACATATAATAGTTATTTTTTATAAGGATATTATAACTATAAAATTAAGTGGGGTTCACTTGTCTACATGTAAATCTGTTATTAAATAATAATAACACGTGACAATGATGACATAATATTACTGATATATTCAATATTTTCTCGTATATAATTGACTACAACAATGACAAAAAAGATAAAAAAAAAACAATATTACGATAACCAGTTATTTATATCAAATTTCTATTTCAAATGATGTAATACTTTTATCACCATTTAGATAAGTGGGTCCCTTAAATATCTAATCATGAAAATTGTGTCATATTAGTTAAGTAGAAAATTTTGATATACAAATTTAATTAGTATTAGCTTATTGACTGGGGTACCATTAAAAGGCACATGGACGAGAACAAGGAAATATAAAGAGTAAAAAGCGAGAGGACATGTGCGTGAGAATGGATCCCTTTCTTCCATGTGAATGATGCAAACTTGAAATCGAAGCAAAATAATGTCTTTAACCAATAAACTCTCAATGGGCAATCCAGAAAATTGAAAATAAAGCAAAGAATAAGAAGAAAAAAAGAGATCAATGTCGGTGACCGGAGATAGCTCTCTTCAACTTTTCTTGAGATTTGTTAATTCATTTTTAGTTTACATGGCTTCAGGCAGAAAAAACAGCTATAAAAGCTATGTCTTTCAGCCTAGGACTTCTTATCAAAAAAGCAATGTGAAGAGTCATGCTAGCCGGGAAACTAAGACTTAGCTTAAGCTTTAAATTAAATTTTCTATTGAACTTAAGCTAGAAGCCGAAACTAAGACTTAGCTTAAGCTTTAAATTAAATTTTCTATTGAACTTAAGCTAGAAGCCGAACCACTTACCAAGTTGTTTTTTCTTGGTTTCTAACCACAAGAGGAAAGGAAGAGGTTTAGGGAGTGGGAAGGGACCGAGAAGGAGAGATCAGACATTCCCTTCAAGGTAGAGAACCTATAGCTATAGTTACGTTCAACACAACAAACAACTGTTTTTGGGGTTATTTTTCTGTCATTAAAAGAGATTAAAATACAATTGGAGTCATTTAACAGAGGCATCTCTATTGGATCCCCTGATTGGCACAAACGAAGGAGGGTTCCACTTAAAGTTTCTTTCTGTTTTTTCGCGGACTCCCCAAACCATTTCTATTGCGGGCATGAGATTGCAATTTTGGATCAATGATTTCAAGAGAAAAGTCCAACATCAATAACATCAAGAATTAATAAATGTATATTGGGAAAGAGATTACATCTTTAACGAAAATTTTATTTATATTTGAAATGTTGATCTGATTTGTTGATTTAATCAAACACAATCATTGAATTAGTGGTAAATTTTAACAAATATTATGACTCACAATTAAATTAATAACAAATTTAATAAAATTAATAAATAATATAAAATTTTTAAATCCAAGTATAATTGGTCAGAGCTTTATATGTATCCTCCCCAACACAAATGAAATAGTACATGTTTTTCCTGCAATCAAATTGGAACCAACATCTAAAAAAAAAAAACATAAACCACAGAACACACACACAAACACTAATGAGACTTGAAATGTCACTTGCAGTGTAAATTCTCAACTGCATGTGTTTTGGTATTAACATCCATAGTGCAGTTCATCTGTGCAGACTTTTTCTTCCTAATAACCTTGAACAGATGTACCTTCCCCTTCAAAGTTGCTTGGCTTGTCAGTGTTATTTTCCCTGACTTTATGTCACTACTCAGCTGTGAATTTCTTGTTTCCTTCTCTGAATTCACACCCACAGTAATATTGAGCTTCTTCGTTGATCGAGCCCGAGCACGAGCCTTATCAATGACAGCCTCACCAACAGGTTTTCCCTCATAGAGGATCGTAGCAGTGCTGCTTTGGAATTTGAAATGGCCGAAATTTGTGTTCTTGACTGTAAATTGAGCATTAAGTTTCATGCTAAAAGAAGGCGAAGAAGAGGAGTTAACCCTCAGATTTTGAACTGTAACGGTGGAAAACCTGACTTTAGGGTTTCGGATGCGCATTATGGTTAATACAAAGACCAGTATGACTGCGGCCTGTAGTATAACTCCGGCGACTATGAGAGCCAGACACTTGAGGTTTCTTTTCCGGCGGAGCGCAGCCGCTGATTCTTGATCTCCGGTGGTCATGTGGCCTTTCATGGTTGTGGGAGGAGGAGGACAGACCCTTTTTCGTGTAAGTTTTCTTGGTGGGACTGAAAATGTGGGCAACAATCTTGGAGGAAGGTGGTGTGGCTTGGAGGCTAAGAACAATGTGGAGATTTATTCACTTTTTTTGGGATGATCTAGTTTATGAAACGGGACCCTACAAATACTACACTTCAGTCGGGCCCGTTTGCCAAAAAAGTGTTTGGAAGATATTGGTTGAAAAGTCTTTCCTTTCATTTTTAGTGATGTGATTTCGTTATAATCGTTAAATTAATATTAAATTTTAATATTTTATAAAATTTATAATTAATTTAATAATTATAGTAAATTAAGTTATCAAATTATGTCAATAAATTAGGTCTCAATGAAATTGCTCATTAATTATTATTCATTCAAACTTTTTTGTGAAGAGTAATGGTATTGAGTAATACTATTTAGACCTAAAAATTTAACTTGATTTGTTGACATAATGATGTGGTTTCAACAAAACTATTAGATCAACACCAAATTTTAATATTTGATAGGCTCCACAATCAATGCAAAGGTCATAGTGAATTAAATCAACAAATTAGGTCTCAATAGCATTGTTCAACGATATTTGGACTTAAAAATTTAATTTCATTTGTTGATTTGATTCATTATAATTTTTGGATTAATTGTGGATCCTATTAAACATTGGAACTTGATTTTCATCCAATGGTTCTAATAAAAATCACATCATCAAGTCAATAAATAAGATCAAATTTTTAGGTTTCAATAGTATTTCTTTGAAAAAGTTGCATATAGCGGGGAGAGAGAGAGAGAGAGAAAGAGAGAGAGAGAGAGAGAGAGTAGAATAAGGGTGAAAATTTTGATATATTATTGAACGCCGTTGAATTAGAAAAATTTAAGAGATTTTATTTTATTTCTTAATTTAATTAAAAATCTATTTTATTTTATTTTATTTTCTAGTTTAATTAAGATTCTATTTTTCTAGTTAGTTTAGCAGTTTAGTAGTATTTAAACTTTCGCAAGCCTTAGGGCTAAAAAACGTGTTTTAATTGATTAATACAATTAAGAGTTTGACTCTTTTCTTCCCAATTTTTCTGGTATTCTTTGTGAATCAACAGATCAATTGAAACATTTAGGCTGACTGGTGTTCTTTTTGAATCAACAACTCTAAAGTAAAATTCTAATTCGGTATTTGTACGTAAATCAATAGTTTAGTTTCACTATCCTCTTTCGTTCATTATTCACCCTTACTTTACCCGCTTTCTTGCATCAATTGGTATCAGAGTCAAATTACATTTCTCTCACTATGCTGCGACCTCTGAAAGAACTCTATGGAGCCGAGATCACGCGAGGATGCAAAAAACAGTTTGAGGCATTAATCCAACAAATAGCGACCTTAACTGTCATTGTTCAACAATAAGTACAACAGAAGTAACTGCTGTGACAACCCCAAAATCCACGATGGGTGATGGAGGAGGACGAGAGTTTCCTGCATGTGATTTAGATCTCAAAAGAGATCCGAGATTTTGACACAATCTCGAAAGAGATATTTTCTTCTAGTGAGTCATCTCTTATGGAACCACAAGTTGATTGGGTTCACCCCCAATATTCGATGAGCATTGAGAGGATGACTCTTTAGTAAGTAAGCAAGATGGTTTTGAAGCCCCGATCTACGATGTATATCCGAAGGATAATTATCTAGTCATTGTCAGAGATATTAAGACCGACGTCGGCAATATTGTTGCAGTAGATAACATGGATGATAGTCTAATTGAGACCCATAAAGATTTTATTGTTGGTAACCTGTCCAATGATCGACCACCAACTGAGCACCGATTGGCCATATCATCTATTGTTTTCAAAACTCTTCCCAACAAAGACCTAAGTGAACAAGCACTACCAAAGGACAATGGCGAAAAATATATGACCAAAAGGGCCAAAATTTATCTGATTTTCATAGTTGTAAAGGTGGAGGATTTGGGGACTGAAAAGTTGTGGACGTGCTCAAGAGAAGAGGCCATAAAGACTAGTTCTAAAATTCTTTTGCAAGTGTTTAAAGATCAAGTTGATGGAGTAATTAAAGTGGATCAACTTTGTGACGGCCGAAGGCCAAAATTAAGACAACTCAATTATCAAGCCGAGATTCAATTTGTTGGTCAAAAACCTAAGTTCAAGTGAAGACTAGATATTGAAGTGGAATTCAAGGGCTGAATTCTTTTTAACGTAGAGATAATGATGCAGAATAAGTGGCTGAAATTTTGATTTTTTATTGAACCTGGTAAATGCCGTTCAATTAAAAAAATTTAGGAGTTTTATTTTATTTTACTTTCTAGTTTAATTAGGATTTTATTTTATTTAGTTTTCTAATTTAATTAGGATTCTAATTTCCTAGTTAGTTTAGAGTTTCAGTATTATTTAAACTCTTGTAAGGCTTAGGGCTAAAAAGAAAAATTTTGATTGATTTATACAATTGAGAGTTTATGTCTTTTCTTTCCAATTCTTTTCATATGTTTTGTAAATCAACAAATTAATTGACGTCTTTAGGTTGGTATTTTTTTTGAGTCAACAATTCTAATATGATATTTGTACGCAAATCAACGATTTAGTTTCACTATCCCCTTTCATTTATTATCCACTATTCTACTTAGGCCTATCAAAGTCCGATACGACATAATTGACCGACACGAATTAAACTAGTTTGGGTGAGACTTTAACAGGTTCAAATAATAAACGAGTTGACCCGTTAGACACGTTTAATAAACGGACCGTATTCGGATGAGATCTATCAACCCTTTTATCACCCGTTTAAAAAGAAAATAACCTTTTGTAGATTCTTCACTTATAACCCTTTGCAGTGCTCGATGTGGGAACAGATTACAAAGTCTTCTTGTAGGTCTGTACAATGAACAAATAGTGAAAGCTTTTGACTTAAATCTCACATCGACAAATTCAAATGAAGGAAACCTCTCATGCCTATAAAAAGTTGCAGCCCCTTTATTTTGTCATTCAACACATGTTTTTGCAAGTGTCAGTCAATTGAAAATCTTTTAATTAAGAGAGTACAATTATTATGGGTAATTAATGGAATTTAAAATTTTAATATAATAATTTTTTAGTGTAGGTTAAAATTTTAATAGAATAATTTTATGAAAATTAAACGGGTTAAACGAATGGTGTTGTGTTATTCGTTTATTAAATAGTTCGTGTTCGTGTGCGTGTAGAGTTTTTTCATCCATTTATTAAACAAATCGTGTATGAGTTTACATGTTTTTCATCCGTCACCCGTTTAGTCCAATACGTAACCGTTTAACCCGACACGTTTGACACCCCATAGAAGTTCTACCTACTTCCCATAAGAGAGAGAGAGAGGAGAGGAAAAGAAAATCCTTTAGATTTTTGATACGTTGTGGCGAGACTCCAGTGCAGCTCTTCAGCCTCTGGATTGACACGTGGAACAATGAAGCCGTTGGGATGACCAAGGGATGCCGAGGAATGGTGACACGGAGCGGCCGAGTACGACAGCTGACATCGTATTTAATGCGATGTGACCTCACATTTATGGCGGAATGAGTAATAGTGACAGTACAAATAAATGCGTGCCTACAAGCAACTGTCCTCTGAGAGTCTAAGTCTACTGTCATAATGGCTGATGCGCTGAGACGATGCATCAGATCTCCCGAGGAACTGTTCCGCCGAGTATTCAATGCTTGATTGGTGTCAGATGCCGACCTGATGGATTTGGTCATTCGGGGAGGGGCATAATTGCTCGGCGGGTGGCCGAGCTTTTACCCTATTTTCCTAGCATTCAATAGGAGGAGACGTGAATAGAAAGCACTCACTGCACAAGGGATGGTGTGTTAGATATGAAGATGTCCAAATGTGACTGAAAACCTTTGACAATCATTGTCAATTCAGGTATAAATATTTCTCAGAAAAATAGACAAATGTACGCAAACTAAAACCAAAAAAAGTCTATTAAGCAAAACCCTTCGAGCTCTTACTGACTTAAGCTTCGGAGGGGATTAGCCAGGCACATGCCTGGCCCCTTTTTTTTCTGACCCTGTTATTCCAGGTTCGCCAGTTAGGAGATTGCTGCCTCACACGATTGCAGGAATCATCCCGTGCAATTTGGCGCCGTCTGTGGGAACAAAAACATTTCTTCCGATAGGGATCCTCTGATGGTGAACACTCGATCTCAGGGTGAGGGAGCAGGTGTACGGGCGAGGAACGCAGAGCTCGTCCGGCTTCCAATGGTTCTAGAGTCGGGCTCATTAGGCCAATTAGATGGGGTGGGGCATTCTTCGCAAAGGATGCTCCCTATGGATCAGGGTCTTGGGGGACGTGACCTCATGGCCCATGACATCGTGGAGATGGTGGAAAAACGGATGGGCAAACGTATTAAGCAGCTCGAAAGAGAAAACACCAAAGTTCAACAACGTCTTGACGATTTTGAGCAGTCAGCAAGCGCGAACGAGCATAGTCGCGGGGTCGAGGACCAGGTGCCCAACCAGAACCTGTCCAGACCCGCCTGGCGATGGCCCTCAAGGAAGGATTGGATAAGGCACTCGCGCGACGGACGTGACCGCCGAAGAGTGTTGTCGACCTCCAAGGAAAAGTCAGAATCGGGCCAGAAGGCAAGCTTGTCCAGGTAGGACCTGCGCTGAGGGATACCCGAGGGCGTCGGAGCCGCCGAATCTCAAGTTAAGTCTATGCCCTGAAGGCCTCGAGAGGAGAAAGACACCAAGGATCCACAGGTTCCCTTTATCGGTCAGCGCAACCATGAACCCGCGGTCTACTCTAATGAAGTTATCTTACCGTTTGTCCGAGCTATCAGGGAAATCGAGATGCCGAAGAAGTTTATCGTCCCACAGTTCAAAGTCTATGATGGGAAAACCGACCCCAAGAGCCACCTTCGACAGTACAGACAATTGATGTCAATCTACGATACTGACCAAAGGGTATTGTGCCGAGTTTTTTTCATGAGCTTAGGGGACACCGGTATGAGGTGGTATGAGAGCCTTGCTCCCGAGAGTGT